GACAAGCTTTGCGGCCGGGTTACATGCCGTGAGGCATGGACTGGATGTTGCGCTGATCTGCCACGCCCTGCTCCTCCCCATTGCATGGGTTCGTTCTCTGGCGCTCCGCAGCCCTTTCTGAGAGGAAGGTGTGCCACATACCGGTGTATCCCGCAGCCATGCCTCTATGTGGATGAAAGTGTTCCTCACCTGGTAAAGATTGGATGGCAGTGCCGCGACGTCCTGCTGCAGGTGACATCGTTGGAACTCTGCTCGAGCCCTTGCACCGCTCCTCAAAGACGCCGCCAGAAGCGTCCTCTGCAGAGTCGGGTGAAGTTGCTCCTGGCCCAAAAACATGGAACCGCGTGCTACAGGGAGCGGAGGCTAGCACACGTGCCTGAAACGGCTGTTGACTGATCCGAAGCACACTCCGCTCTCGCCCCTTCCCTCGAACCTGCCGTCGCAGCCATGTGCGGCCATGCTCGGCCACGACACATTTTTGCTGCATGCAAGGCAATGCAAGAGGCACACTCTCTGGCCTTCCTTTGCCAGGCCGGCTTTCAGAGATGCAGAGGACTTGAAGAGATGCAGTCTACCTTGCGACGCTCGCGGACACGAGGGCACCTCATCGTCGGTGCGTGTTGCGGCCAAAGCTCGTTCCTCCCCGAAGCCATAGCTCTCGCACTTGATCTCCGGATACTTCTCCGCCAGCTTCTTCGCCTGCCGGACAGGCTTGTCACCTACGCGTTTTGCCAGTGAGACGGCCAGCTGTGCCTGTTTGCGCTGCTCGGGATCCAGAGGCGGCAGCCGCAGCTCTTTGCAGCTCCTCCACTGGGACAAACAACGCCAAACTTCTCTCTGTGCCAACGCTGAAATCCACCGCTTTGCAGCAAGGCGACACATCGGCAAGGAAAGCTTCCAAAGCCTGAGCGAGAGCAACAGCCGCAGTCTGCACCCGCTCTGCTGCGCGCCGTGTCCGCTCTTCCTACCCTTGCCGCATGGAAAAATGTGAGAAATGCCTCCACGCAGTGTAACAGAGACTTGTAGACTCGGCTGCAGGTTCGCTTGCTTCGGTTGCAGACGCAGATCCTTTTGGTTTCGCCGGCTGTTGTGCAGCATGTTTGCCAACACGTTGCAGGCTTGCGTTGCTGCTTGCGACGTTCCCTCGGGCTTCGATTTAGCTTTACTTGATCCAGGGTACGAACCCCGCCATGCTATCCGCGAAAGAAATCCCGCAACCCTAAGCGCTGTCTGCAGCGAAGTCTAGAAAATCTCGGCATGCAACAAACAAGCTAAATTTGGAGGCTGGCTTCTGAAACACTGGAAGTTCAGACCGAAGTTCAGACCTGTCAGCGGCCCCACTACGGTGCAGAGGAAGCGGCTTCCTCGATGTTGAAGGTTTTCGACTCCGCTGACTCCGCCGTGCCAGTTTGCTCTGGGGCATCGGCCTGTTGCAACCAGCGCCGAGCCTAAATG